TTTTAAAAGTTCTCCATCCGAATTTCTAAATATCATACAAAGCACTTTTATCATTTTTTCTTTTGAAAGTGTTTTTAGCAGCCAAATAGGACTACTTGTTTCTCTTACTTCATTTTGATGAGTGTCGTAATTATATGTTCACTACTTAAAATTAGAAAGAGGAGAAAAACAGAACCCCCCTGGTGAGTGGCACCTCTCATCACTGAAGGCTCCCATGACCAGAAACTTGTTCAACTTTTTACTTTTTAAGTGGCTGAAATTCTGAGGATGTCTTCAGTGGTGCATTTGAGTTGATTGACTTTTCTTATCAAAAAGGATTCTTTTTTTTTTTTTAATTGTTTTTCTACCCAAGTTGTCAAGCCCATATCAGGGCTGACCCAAAGCAAAATCGCCTGGTCCATCGGCTTCCTGGTCGACCTTCCGGATCAGGGACCTGAGTGTGGAGAGGCCTCAATGCAGCAGCTAGAAGGAGCCAAACAGACTAGCTACATTCCTGGTTATAAACAACTCAAACCCACCGTGATGGACTTGGGTAGAAAAGAAGTTTAATGGGTAGATAGTGGAAGCTCATGATTGAACCAAGAGAGAAACCATAGATCCAGGTTCTGAAAATATGCAGGAAACATGCAAAGCAAGCAGCGAGGGGACAGCCTGACCAGGAGGTCCCTGGCCCACCACTGCTTGGTGCATTGTCATCAGCCTCCCACGAGGCTGCCACCTCTGATTAGAGAATGCTTCTTCAGTGGCCCCTGCCTCTCTGTGTCAGACTCAGCATCCAATGTTGGCAGGACCACCCACCTTGTCATCAAGGACCTTCACGACCTGCTTACGTCACATAGCTGGTTGGCAGCAGAGCCAGAATTTGAACCCACGTTGGGGGTGCCAAAGCCTTGGTTTTCCCTCTCATGAGCGAGCAAGGAGGGTCTGAATCTGAGCCGAGGGAACGGCAAGTTGGGGTTTGAGTTTAGGAAAGCCACTGCAGCCTTTAAGCAGGGTGGGTCACCTGGTCTGGTTTTTGCCATAGGAAGTCACTCTAGATGTCACTGGATGAAACCGCCTGGGGAGTGGGGAATAAACAGACACAGCTGCCAGGAGGCTGTGGCAGGCAGTCTCCCAGGTAAGAGACGATGTCATCTGCCGCAGATAGAATTGAGAGCAGAGTTGATGAGAGTTTTGATGACTTGGACAGGCACTGGGAGGTAATCTAGCGGAAGGAAGGAGTTTGCTATTTTGGGCTGGGAAACTGGCGGGAGGGGATTTGGAACAGGGCCATTGGAAGTGCAGTTTCGGACCTGCTGTGTCTGAGACGCTTCTAAGCCAAGAGAGGGCACTGACTGGGCAGGTGGACAGATGAGCCTGCTGGATCGTGGGGGAGCGGTCTAAGCTAGAGGGATAGATTTGGGAGTCAGCAGCATGTTGATGGTTTAAAGGCTACTCGTCTATAAGAGGTCACTCGCAGCAAGAGTGTGGCTAGAACAGAGAGGAAGGCTTTGGGCTGAGTCCTGGAATGCTCCGTCACTGGAGGTCCCGTACATGACAGGGAAGCTGAATGGACGAGGAGGGAGTGACCAGGGAGGCTGAAGGGAAAGTAGGCCAGTGTGTTGGCTGAAAAGGAAGTTTCTAGAAGGACTCAGAAGGAAGAAGGCTGATCAACTTCTTCACAGCTGCTGGCAGGTTATAGGGAATTGACTATTGACTTCGGATCATTGATGTCCTCAAAGGAGCAACTTGAGTAGAGTGGTGGGTCCAAAACCCCGTGGGCAGGAGCTGAGGAGAAAATGGAAGGTGCAAAGTGGAGACAGGGACTCCGTTTGGGAGAGTTTTGCCATCACACACAACACGGGAAATGGGGTGATAACAGGGGGTCAAAATAAGTGGTTTGTTTTTTTTAATTGAGGTGAAATTCACTTAACATAAAATTAACCACTCTATTTTATTTTTTAAATTAACCATTTTAGTGGTGTTTAGTACATTCACAGTGTTGGGCAGCCACCACCTCTATCTAGTCACAAAGCCCCACAGCAAACCCTTACCCATTAAATATTGTAGTTGTTCCTCATTTGCACCTGCCCCCAGCCCCCGGCAACCACTAATCCGCTTTCTGCCTCTATAGCTTTACCTATCTGAACAGTCCATTTAAAAGGACTTATAAAACATGGGACCTTTTGTATCAGGCTTTTTCACTTAGCATAATGGGTTCAAGGCTCTTTGGCGTGGTAACATGTACCAGCACTGCATTGCTCTGTACGGCTGACCAACAGTCCATTGCGTGGAGAGTTCACAATCATTTACTGTTTTATTAGTTGGTGGACATTTAGACGGTTGCCACCTTTTGGCATTGCTACGAGCATTCGTGTTCAAGTTTTTGTTTGAGCACCTGTTTTCGTTTCTCCTGGGTCTATACCTAGGACTGGAATTGCTGGACCAGATGGCAATTCTGTGTTTAATTATTAAGAAACCAGTAAACTCTTTTCCACAGTGGCTAAACCAGTCTACATTCCCACTAGCAATTCCTCCACGCCCTTGCCAACACTCGTTACTTGTTGTTTTTCTTTTTTAATTGGTGCTATGAAGACATTTTTGTACATAGCCTGGGATGTCCCAAAAGGGAGGGAGAAATAGATGCTGCTGAAGAAAAATGGGGTAGTTGCTGGGGAAAATCCTTAAGAAGGTGAGCGGGACTTGCCCATAAGACCCACACATGGGAAGTCCTCCAAAGTGAGAAGTCTGGATGCCGGGCTGCCAAAAAAAGAGAGAGAAATGTCTCTGGCATCAAGGCCGGAGGCTCGTTCAGCGGGCATGCCCTCTCTGGTCAGCGGCTTCTCCGCAGAGCAGCAGGCAGCGTGGGTGTTCCATTCTCCGTCACAAGCCCTGGTGCTTCGCGCAAGTGGGGTGCCCTCTAGAGGCCCAGGATGCTGAGCCGTAGAATGGAGATAGCAAAACGTCAACGGCTGCTCTCAGGATTAAGGGAGGCTGTATATAGCAGGTGCCCGGCACATAGTAGGTGCTCACTGAATGTAGGTCCCTTATATTGGCTCATCCTTCTGAGTAGATTCTGAATTTGCCGATAGGAGTAACAGGTTTATCCTTCTCAGTATCTAGCACCATAACTATAATGTTTATGGAATGCTCCATAAACATTCGAAAGAGAGTAAATAAAGAGTATTTACAAGAATAAAACTAATGATCAATAAAGAGGTTTCCCAATAATAGCAATAGTGACTATTTATTGGGTGCTTGCTATATGGCAGGCAGTTCCAAGGGCAATATCTCGTGTGATCTGCACGACGTGACCTTGAGATGTATATCCCCTCGCCCCACTTTGCAGAGCAGACTTGTCCAATGTGACATGGCTGGGGAGCAGCAAGCAGGCTGGGAGTTGAAGTCTGAAATCAAATTCCAGGCTGTTAGTCATCATCTTGTACCGTCTATCTAGGTGCTGTGAAACCCACGGTTGAATAATCCTGGCATAAGAGAGTGGTTTGTTGCGGCTGAAAATGGAACTGAGTTCAAGCTCATACTACTGACTGAATGATGGCCAATAAGTCAAGCGACAAGGCGTTGGGATAAGGAAGGAAAGGACTGTATTCAGAAAGCCAGCAATGTGAGAATATGGCAGACTAGTGTCTAAAGAGCCATCTTAAGAAAGTACAGAATTCAGGCTTCCTTTATGTCAAGGGGAGGGTGAAACAGGAGAGGCTGAGGTCAGGAGGTGACTGACAACCATAGACATATAGGTGCCAGCAAGGCTCCGAGGAGGTGAACTTTTCTTTGTTCTTGGTCAACAAATTCCTGTTGTTGTGGTTTTGGTCACGGTGTTCCTACAAATCTTTGACAAACACTTATTATTTTGTACATACTTCCTTATCTCCTCAGGGGAGGCAGTTTTTAGTAGGGAGCTGTTCTTTTTTTTTCTTTTTTCTAATGATTATTATGTCTACATGAAAGGCTCAGCTGCTAAGCAGAAGCTAGTATGCATAACGTAAAGGCTGTGGAAACAAGGCAGGCTTGAATAAGATGCAGTCAGAGAGACCAGGCAATGCTCTCTGTTACAAAAAGACCTCAAGGGAGATGTTGGGTGACTGCTTGGGGGAAGGGGGGGTGGGCACCAGTTGGATAATTGTGGAAGATTTGAAAAGACTGGAAAGCAATGCCATTGTTCAGAGGCAACCTCCGTCTTGGTGTGTTTGCCTCTCCTTAAACACCACTGAAATCACTTGGGCACAGAAATGTCCTCTTTCTAGTGTGCAGGTTGTGTCAGACACCGGAGGTTGGTTAATAAAGACACCCCGGGCAGATGTCTCCCAGGGGTCAGGTGGTTTCTTCCTGTTTACCAGCCCATCCATCCCTTTGTCAACATGAAGGCACTGAGGAAAGGGGATTAGCCATGAGGAGGCTGCCCAGTTGCTCTCAATCAATGCCGAGGGAATCAGATGGGCTTTTCCAGGTACCCTGCACACCCCTGTGTCCCAGAGCCGAGTACATGCAGGAGCCAGGCACAGCATCTCTTTCTCATGCTGGGCGGGGGCTCCCGGGGGCCATCTTTCTGTGCTCCGCCCCAGAACCATCCTTCACTTCCCATGCCCTCACCGCTCTCTCTGAACTGGCCCAGAGGATGCTTTTGGTGCCCTTGGCTGAGGTTGGATCTTGCCCCGGCTGCCCAGGCACACTCTCGGATCCCTTACATCTGACTGCCACTCCAGCTCTCTGTTTACCTCTGTTTACCGGAAGAGAGACTTGGCTTAGCACGTGTGTATCACTTTTGAGCTAGAGCAAGAGGTCAGGAGGTCACTGAGGCTTTCACAAAGTAAGAGTGGTCAAGACCATGGGGACAGCACTTCTCAGCTGATGGCTCTCCCCGGAATGAGTTTACTCCGATGGCGATAATCTAGCAAGAGTGAACTCCTCATCCCGTTCCTTGGGTTTAGGACTTGATCCACCCTCATTTATTGGTGTCCTGCTTTACAAGTCCAGCAGCTCATTTCACCCGACCCTCGCCACAACCCGGACAGGTTGGTCCTACACCGGTCACACCATCGTGCTAGCAAGAAGGGATTTGACATCCAGGGAGTTCAACCTGTTAGTCAGCAGTGGCTTCGCTGAGACACGTCTGCCTTCGACCCCTGGCCCAGAACTTGTTGACTTACACCCAGGCATGTTTTTAATATGCTGAGCTGACCGCCAATTATTACTGGTAATCATTTATCATTTGTCAAGATAGATATCACAGAATGTTTATAGTAACAGCCGTACTGAGCCATGAATGCATGCCATTTAATCATTAACGCTGTTGTCTTTCATAATTTCCCAGGTTTAGATCTGATTTCATGAGGAGCTGGTCTGTCTGTGACGCGTATTCTGTTTGCTCTTTAGACTGAAGCAGAGAAGGGAAGTGCCAGGAGACAGGTAAGTTACGCTCACCGATTTGGGTCGGCTCTGGGGATGTTTTTAAGAATCACTGGGACTCTTATAGAGTAGCTGAAACAAAGGATTTGAAAATCAACTTGGTGAATGATTAAGTAGAAAAATAGAAAGTGCATAGTGTGGTGTCTGACAAATGTTAATATAAAAATGAAATTGAGTATAAGCGATTATGGCTATGGTTATTATTCTAATGGTTAGTAATCTAATTCCCCCCCCACACACACACACCCTGTCTCTCTACTGCTCTGTTTTCCACATTTCTTTTCAATGTCTTTAGGATTAGCTTTAGCTCCATGCTAAAGTTAGCAAAGAATTTACCCTGAAAGTTAAGCAGAAAGTCACAGCCCAGTGTTAATCAGACAGAGAACCTGGGGAACAGGCGTGTGTAGCATTTCTTGTTCTGATCTGTCACCCAGCAGCTGGTTGGAACCACAGGGCTTTGCTGAGAAGGGTGGACAGTGCCCACAGCAGTGGCTCCAGGCACGTCATGGAAGGAGGGCCCTAGCTTGCACTAACTGGCTGGGACAACAAGCCCACCTTAGCTGGCTGCCGACTTTTGCAGTGGTTGGGTGTGAGTCAGTGCCTTTTGTGTCTTTGTCTTTCCACCCAACACAGGCTTATGAGCAAGGGTCTGACTAGAAGCAGTCTGGGCTCAGCCCCGACCTCTGGGACAGGTGGGGTGGGTAAAGGTACTTCTCAGAGGCTTGCTTGCTTGCTTGCTTTATTTCTAACCCAGCAGGCCACAGCATCTGATGCATGGTGCTCGTGAAGGTTTTATTATCAAGATAAGAGCAATGGTAGTAGCAGAGGTGATTTTCTAAGTAATTAATCCCAGCTACCGCCTAGGTAGGGGCCAATCAAATTGCCGGGAGCAGTGGCCCGCTCTCTGTAGCTGCTGGATTGCGGCAGGTGGGCACTAGGGGGCTTGAGCTGTGGGCATTCACCAATGGGTCCTGCAGCATTTTGACTTTCTAAGAACTGGCACAGCCACACTGGTGGGCACTAGCAGAGCATTAGGTGTGAATTGCAGCAATATTACTGTGGACCAAAAAGACAAGGAGCAAGCTAGCATTTTTAGAACCTCCTGCACAGATCTTGTATTTTTTTTGTCATGTTATTTATTATTCCACTCAAACCTCAGAGAATTCTTCTGAGGCAGTTTAGGGTTCTTCAGTCAAACACCAAGTGGTTCTTCCCCCTCCTTTTTTCTTGACTGGTTCTAAGACACCATCCAGTCCACGAGGCCCTTGCAAACAAGAAGCACCTTATCTGTGCTCCACAGCGGCTGTTTGCGGGGAGTCTGGTGGTGTTCATTTAGCTTGTGCTCAGTTAGCATTTACAGCGTGCTTTGCATACATTAACTCATTTAATCCTCACAACATCCCTGTGAGGAGATCCTGTTATTATCCCCGACTTGGCATAAAGACACGGAGGTACAGAGAGGTTAAGTACCTTCCCCCAAGTCACACCGCTCCTGATCTGTGGAGCTGGGATTTGAACCCCTGGCTTCATGCTGCCTGGGGTGCAAGCTGTCTGCAGTTGGTCTTGTGCTGCACAGGCAGGCAGCTTCCCACCTGTGACGCGACATCTCAGGGACCATGAGGTCATTCTCAGCTCTGTGGTGTTCTCTGCAGGGGGAGGCGCACAGTCTCTGCTGCACACAGCTCCCCTGGGCAGCAGGTCCTTTGTGGCTTAGCGACCCTCCTCCTATCCCTTGCTGGCTGGAGAGTTGAAGATGGGAGTTGGCTGTGACCCAGAGGAAGCTCCAGCCATCACCCACACACCCTCCTGGTGCCAGCAATGTTCCCCGTTTGGAACAAGTTTTCTGAGAAGAATGCACCAGCCTCCCCGTCCTGGCCCAGGGCACCTCACCTATTTCAACACAGCGGATTTATTCAGCCTATCGATTTGGGTCTGCTGAGCACACGGTTCAGCCCCGCCCCCCGGCCCATGTTCCCTTGCCTGAATTACTCCCCACAGAAATATCTAACACACACCATGATGTGTTGATGTCCGTCACTGCCTTCTTTTCTCCTTCCTACACATTCACGATTGTCATGTGCTCTGACCTTGATTTCTAGGTGGTTTCAGCTTTGGGAGGACAATGTACATAAATCCCAACAAGTTCTGATTGCAGCTTGAATCATGTCTTCTCTCAGTTGTTCTCCAACCTAAGGCCCCAGTGGAAGCTTGACATTTTCCCTGCCATGCCCATCACCCTCTCACTCAACCCTCTATCCCTCTGTCATGAACACCCCACGCTGGAAGACCCGTGGGCTTCCTTCTCCAGTGCTGAGCTGGGAATGACCTTCCACGCCATCCCACTCTCTTAACAGGCTGCTCCCCAGATGTCCCTGGTGACTATTTCACAGCTTCACAAATCAGCCACCCGCCTGAGTAATATTCCATTGTATATATGTGCCACTTCTTCTTTATCCAATCGTCTATCGATGGACACTTAGGTTTCTTCCATATCTTGGCTATTGGAAATAATGCTGCAATGAACAAAAGGGTGCATATATTTTTTCAAATTAGTGTTTTGGCTTTCTTCAGATAAATACCCAGGAGTGGAATTTCTGAGTCATAAGGTAGTTCTGTTTTTAATTTTCTTGAGGAACCTCCACACTGTTTTCCATAGCTGCTGCACCAGTCTGCAGTCTCACCGACAGTGCACGAGGGTTCCCTTTTCCCCACAACCTCGCCAGCACTTGTTGCTTGTTGATTTATTGATGATGGCCATTCTGACAGGAGAGAGGTGATATCTCATTGTGGTTTTGATTTGCATTTCTCTGACGATTAGCAATGTTGAGCATCTTTTCATATGCCTGTTGGCCATCTGCGTGTCCTCTTTGGAGAAATGTCTATTCATGTCCTTTGCCCATTTTTTAATTGGACTGTTTGTTTTTTTGGTGTTGAGTTGTACGAGTTCTTGATATGTTTTGGATATTATTCTCTTGCCATTTCTAGCACCCTGCTCTCCGTTTCCTCCAGCCCAGTCTCCTTTTCCGTTTTCCATCCCCCATCAGCTCTTTCCAGCTTGGAGTTCCTTGGGGCTCTTTTCTTTCTACACTGTCTCCCTGGGTGACCTGACCTGATTCAAGGGTGTTAATTACCATGTCATTTCTCTCCAGCACAGACCGCTTCTCAAGCACCACCCTTATTTCCAACTGCCCAAGTGATCTTTGCTCTTGGACACCACACAAACATCTCACGCTCATTTCCTAAACAGAACTCTTGATTCCCTCCCATCCCCAAATCTGTTCCTTTCTGAGCCTTCTCTAGCTCAATGAAGGATAATTACCATTAATCAGAGACCCAGGATTTGCCAGGCAACCCCCAAGTCCCCGTTATCTACATGAACCCTCATCTAACAATCATGATATGAGAGCGTGAAAATGATCTCCAACTGAATGATAAGGAAATAGATCCAGAGGTTAAGCAACTTGTCTTGGGTCATAGCAGCCAAACTGGGATTGGGACCCAGGCTCCTGACTGCAGCACCCCTGCTCCTCCCACTCCACTCGTGTCTTTTCAAATCCTGGCTCTCGCCTGATGGTTTGGAGACTATCTTCATCCTCAGGTACGTGAAGGGCCAGCACATGGCATAATTCCAAGGGGACGTTTACGGTGTCATCTGTGCGCATAGCACTCCATGGAGTTACATGGTGACAGCCGTTCACATAAGCTGGAGTGGGAATGCAGCCCCTGGAGGTGGGCAGGTGTTGGCCGTGGACGCACTCACTCTGACTTCCTTTGTGCCATCCATCCCCGTCTGACCCCATTCCGAGTCCTGTCTTCTCCTGCCCTCCACCCCACCGCACCTGTTCTGTGGGCCAGGCGCCTCTCGGCCAGGATCTCTGCCAGGCTCTGTGGACGCAGAGATGGGCCAACTGTGGTCCCCGAGTATGAGGAGTGTGTAGGTCAGGGTTCTCCAGGGGAACGGAACCAATAGGACATATATCTGTATATTAGCTGTAGTGATATGTATGGAGATAGAGATGCAGGGGGGGGCGGGAAGAGAGAGAGATTGAGAGGTTACAAGGAATTGGCTCACGCGATTGTTGGGGCTGGAAAGCCCTACACCCATACAGCAAGCCCGCAGGCTAGAAATTCCAGCAAGAGTTGATATTCCAGTTTTGGTCTGAAGTCTGGACGCACAGGCAGAATTTCTACGTTGTGTTCTTGAGGCCACAGTCCTTCCTCTTCAGGGCACCTTTGTGTTTGCTTGTCAGGCCTTCGACTGACTGGGGGAGGCCCACCCACATTATGGAGGGTCATCTGCTTTCCTTACAGTCAACAGAGTGTGTTAATCATCTCTAACATACACCCGCTGCCTCTTGCCTGTTCTCTAGGTGTCCAACCACACAGCTGGCCACCGCGGCCTAGCTGAGCTGACGCGTAAAAGGAACCATCAGGACGGTCGCTGATGAGAACATAGGCAGGAGAGCGGTCAGCGAGCACCGTCTGGTTCCGGCTAGGCTGGCGGCACATGCTAGGGGATGCACAGAAGGAAGGGGCTCGGGCTTTGCAGGGGGAACAGAGAGGTGAGCGGAGGAAGTGAGCCTTGAAAGTGAAACAGGCAAAGCAGGCAGCCCGAGAAACACCAGAGAGGCCTGAAAATGGAGGCACAGTGGGCTGGAATGTCCCTGGGTGCTGGCCTGAGGCAGTCGGGGTCCCTCCGTGGAGGGCCTGAAACATTACACTCACGTGTTGGTTACAGCAGCTCACCAGCCAACATCCTCATCAGGCCGGCTCTGAGGTTCTGGACCTTAGAACCTATCATCCCGTAAGAACTGTATTCTTCCAGAATTTTCTTTTGTATGTCTCCTTGGCTACTTGAGACCTTAAGGGCTTAACTCTTGAAAAAAAAACACAATTTTTTAATTTAAAAAAAATTAAAATTTGTTTTTATAAGTTGTAGAAGTGGGCTTTTTTTTTTCCAGTATAGAAAATTAGAAAACTATAGAAAACGAGAGAACAATTGGCTAAAATACCACAGCCAGTCTGTTTATCTAGGCCGTCTGTTTTCTGTGCACATAAGTACAGGATCTGTACTTGTTTATCACGTCTGCAGTCCTGGCCCCTGCTGCTGTCACATCCCGCGCTGGGACAGGCCACTCACCTTCCGTCCACCCATGCACAGTCTGTACTCTCTTGTTCAGTTGTCTCTTTTCCTAGAATGTGCGCTCCAAGCCAAGGTCTGTCTCGCTCAAGGTTGTATCCCCGTAACCTCGATATTAGGGACTTAGAAAATATTTGTTGCATCAACAATTGAAGGTATAAATATTTTGTTTTAAATTTAAATTAGAAAAACACATAGACATAGTTTAAGTACATGTGTTGTTTGATGGTGATTCTATTCATAAGTACATCTAGTTTGATTGTTGACCACCGTATACTCTTTTTTTATCTTCCTCTGTCAAGTAAGAATATATTATGAGCAGTGTTCCCTAATGTAAGGTTTTAAGTGCCACGTGTGTTTTCATCAGATTGATGTTACCCATCTGTGATAGCAAATGTCTAATGGCTTCTTCCTTTTTCCTCTTTTCTCAGGAAAAAGTCCAGTCCCAAATCTGAACAAGAAACCATGAAGCTCAGTGAAAAGGACCCAGCAGATAACAAAGGAAGTGATTTGGAGAAAAAGAAGTTGGTCAGTGCTGGTTTCCTTATCTCCTCCCTTACATGAGTGTGCTGGCGACTCTGGGGTAGCCCTTCTTTAAGGCGAGGTCAGGCAGAGAAGACAGAGCAGAGGTTGGAAGAAGAGTCTATGTGAAGTTGCCATGTGAATCGTAAAGTGTACGCAGGGAGGCCCAGGCCGCTGATGGCTTGCACTTCAGTTGATAATGCTATCTGCTGCTGACCTTCTGAATTTGGGGTGTGTGTGGTGTGTCTCCATTCCAGAGGTCATTTCTCAACAAGGGGATATGGATATCGAAAGTGATGATGCCATGATCCTTAAGTATATGCCCAAACCCATCCTCCACCCCCACCCTAAGGCCCAGTTCACCTGCCCCCTCCTCCAGGAAGGCCTCGGCACTTAGAAAGCCTCTCTCCCTCATTGAGACTTCTTGGGCCCTGTCTTGAAACCAGATGCAAAAACCAGCAGCCAGACAGCACATGCTCTGTGCTGGACGTTTACACAGGGCTCTCGTTCGGTTCTCTCGGCCACACCAGGGTAAAAGCATTACCCCCCACAGGAACCGAGCCTCAGAGAGGGCTGGCGCCACTTGTCCAAGGCTATGTAGCGAGTTCAAGGTGGAGCTGGCCTCAAACCTTGACCCACTTGTCCTTGTCTTTTATGACGGGTGTGGCGCAAGCAGGACTCAGAAAAGAATACGTCCGTATCGGCAATGCACCTTTCTTTAGCAGGACAAAGATCAACACAAGTATATCTGCCAAACTGCCGGCCAAATGTGAAATTCACAAGCTAAGCATCACTGTCCCATCTCACAGGTGTGACAGGGGAGGTCCAGGAGGACAAGCCACCGCCTCAGGTCACGTTAAACACACATTTCCTCCCAGTGAATACGTATGTTCTTGGTGCTCACGTTCGGTTGAGTCAAGTCTCCACTGTCCAGGCATCTGGTGTGATGGGGCTGGGCCTTCCCCTCCCCTGCCCCTCGCACACGTTAGGCTCCATCACACTCAACTATTTCACTTCCCCAACCCCCCGGGCATCGGTGCCTGCGGGTCCTGGCTCGTGTCCTCCCAGCCCACTGGCCCTGCTCTGCCTGCGTCCCCCGCAGGCGTAGGCACCCAGCAGCCACCTCTTCCAGAAAGGCTTCGGTGATCCAGCCCCAGGTTGGCTCAGTGCCTTCTCCAGGTTTCCCCGGGAATCCTCAGCTACTGTATGTCACGTTGCAAAGACAGCTTCTGTGTCAGAGCCCTGCCCTGGACCATAGGTCTGCGATGGGGAATGGGACAGCCGGCTGAAACGCAATTCCGGAAAAGAACCGGTTCTCCCAGAGTTTCCTGGATGATTAATATGCAGAATGGTCAGCACCCCGAGGGCTTCAGGTGCTCAATACATAACTAGCCTGATTTTTGAGGGCTGGCTTGTCCTTTTGGATGTTTTGGCTTCCTGTTGAGCAGTTATTTTCTCAGGGTTGTGAATTTCGGGGCTGGATGGTCTCACAGGTGTGTGACATGACACACGTCCGCACATCTGCAGTGGGCCACGCCTTTTATTCCCATGTGTGTTTTCCATTAAACCCACTCTGCTGGCTTTTTGTCTCTTTTTTTGTGTGTGGACTTGAGGCCACCCTGGACTTCTAGGGGTTCTGTGCTCCCCACACATGCCTGCCAGCCTCTGCACCTGCTCTCTGCCCCTGGGAGCAAATGGCCAAGGTGACCTGTCCTAGACACAATCAAAAGTGCTCCTCTGACATCTGAGGCAAATTGGCCATGAGGCAAATTAATTCTCCTGCGTCCTCATGTGCACGAGGGGCCTGCTGCCTTAATGCTGCCCTGAGCCAGTCGGGGGTGGGCAGGTAGAAGGTGTGCCCTGAGCCAAGGCTGCATGAACAGGACGGAGCAAGGACAAGTGGCAGGACCGTTTTCTTCCAAACCTGCAGCCTCCCCATTTGTTCTAGAGCGGCGAGGCAGCCGTTGCCCATTCCCAGCATGCTTTGTATCTGAGACCAGAGTAACTCTGCAGGAAGATCAGAACAGGGTCAAGCTCTCATTTTGCACTTGTAATCGTGGTGGCTCAGAGAAGCAAAGCAACTTGCCTAAGGACACACAGTAAAAAAAGTAGTGATTGGCAGTGTTTCATATATGCTAATTGAAAGCATAAAAAAAAAAAAAGCGGTGGAGCCTGGGTTGGAGCCCTACCAGCCTTCTACTGCAAAGCCAGTGAACTTTCCCTTCTGTCCCAACCCTTAAAGAGACACGCCCTGGGCTTGTGCCAGTCACTCCCCTCCCTGCGGCTGCTGGCCTTGCTAAGAGGGAAAATAAAAAGTTTCCAAAGAAGAATCCACACCCTGGGGTGACTCCTGCTCCTGAGAAGACATGCCTCCCTTCTAGGATTCTCCAGTTGCTGGGATGACTTGGGACCGAGGGGAATAAAAACGTTGCCCATTTCCTGTTCAGACAAGAGCAAATTGCCACACTTCCTGTGCGGGCGCCCCGCCCCCTTCTGTGGACTCTGCCTCCTCGCTCACGGAGATGCCTTGGCAGAGCCAGGCCCTGAGGCCTCTCGGAAACCGAGCATGGACTCCCAGGAGCTCAGCTCAGCTCACCTCATACGGGGCCCCAGCCCCCCAGGGCCCCCCAGCGGAGCCTGCCCTGGGAGCAGGACCCCGGGTGGGCGGAGAAAACAGGTAAACAGAGAAACCGGCCTCTGAGTTCACCATGGAGGGCTTGGAGCCCCACTGTGGGTGGCCGGCCACAGGGCTTTGGTCAGGGAGGCCTGCCTCTGCGTCCTGGTGTCCTTGTCCCTGTGGCTTTGGCCGTGGCGCTCCAACAGTCTAGCTGCAGTTTCCTGGGGCTGACAGCACTTTCTGGCAGTGTGGCTGTGCTCATGACACCACGCTGGGTGGTGTCCCTTCTACCGTCCCTGCCCCACAGCAGCCACCCTCTGCCCCTGACTGAGACTGTTGGTTAGAGGTGGTGGGCACAGGCGGGCCACACAGGGGCAGGGGGGTCCAGGAGATGGCTCCCACCTGTCCTTCTCCACCCTCTGATGGAAAATTGATGAGGTTGGGAGCAGGGGGGCCCAGGGAGAGAAGGTGCCCAGCACAGCCCGGGGGGTCAGGAGGAGTGACATCTGATCTGAGACCCAGAGGATAAGTTTCAAGGCAACAGGTGATGGGGAATGGGCGTTTTGTCCGAAAGGTGACTCTGTTTTGTCAGTGAATCCCATTCAGTTCAAGCTGCTCTTACTGCAGAAAAAAAAAATCATCCCTCAGTATCCATGGGGGGTTCGTTCCAGGACCCTCCCCGCCCCCACCCCTGCGAATACCAAAGTCTGTGGATGCTCAAGCCTCTTATAGTAAAGGGCGTAGTTTTTACATATAACCTACGTAATCCTCCCGTGTATTTTAAATCATCTCTAGATTACCTATAATACCTCATTCAGGGCAAATGCTATGCAAACAGTTGTTATATGGTATTGTTTAGGGAATAATGACAAGAGAAAAAGTCTGTACATATTCAGTACAGACGAGACGTCCAGCATAGACCTAACTACATAACACATGCCAGCAACCACGTGACTTCTTTTTTTCCCCTGACTATGTTAGATCTGTGGTTGAATCCATGGCTGTGGAAGCTGTGGGTGTGGAGGGCTAACTGTATTCCATCCCCTTGGCTTATAAAACCTCCTCTCACCTTCCATTGGACCATCCAGTCAACAGCACCTTGTCTGCAGAAGGCTCGGTGCCTAGAAGCAGAGAGCAAGAAGCAAGACCTCCCCTCTTAACAGTAAGCCCCCCGCCCACTGTGCAGCCTCTGCTGCTGACTGTCATGGGCCCCTGACACAGGACAGGTGAGGCCCTTACCTGCTTTAATGCCTCTCTTCCGCATAATATCCTAGGAAGTGTGTTTAATATCCCCATTTACAGATGGGGACGCTGAGTCACAGAGCCGCTAGGTGACTGATCTAAGGTTGCACAATGGTCAGAGGCAAAGGGGTGGGGGGGGGCCAGATGGAGTAGAATCAAGAGATCAGTGTAAACATTAGGAGGTGGAGCTTTCAGGGAGCGGACATTGGCCATGGCTCTCAGATATGTACGCTTCAGAAGGGGCGATTTCAGGTGGACATAGCCACACAGGCCAGGCCAGGACAAACCTTGGCATGTCACTCGGGCAGCAGCCATTCTGTCTGGCTGGGAGTGCAGGGAGAAACCGAAGAGCAAACACCCTTTCTGAACGCTCCCTACATGCACACAGCACTGTAAACGTCCTCGTCCAGCAGCACATCGACCCCGCAACCACCTCGGCAGCCAGGGTTGCTGTTTAGGTCCCACGTTACAGCTGAGCAAGCTGAGACCCAGAAAGGCCAAGAAGCTGGCTACGGTCCCACAGCTGAGGGGCAGAGGCGTCTGGCATGACGCGCATGCTACAGGAGGCTACCCAGGTAGGCAGAACAGGGAATTGGCTACCGGGGTCCTGCTGCCCATTCCAAAAAATATTTGACTGACACAGTCCCCTGAGCTGGGGACTTCACCTGTCTCATTTACTGCTGTGTCCCCAGAGCTTTGTCAGGGCCTGGCACCTAGAACATACACACACGTTGAATGATGGCAGAGAAACTGCCTTCCAAGAGCACCTGGGTCGGTACCCTCCAGCCGGCGAGTGGCCCATGTCCCCTGGCCAGCCTAGGATGGCAGCCTCTCTTGCCGCTGGCTCCTGCCACCTGGCCAGCCATTGCCAAGGGGCTCAGATGTTTCTGCTCCATGGCTTTGTTGTGGCTGTGGCAATCCTTGGATGGGGCCACGGGAAGGATTACATGCAGGCAGGTGCCTGAATCTCTGGGTCAAGTCCTGTAATCTGTCTGCAGGTCCTTCTCCCAAGGTGGTCATACTGGCTTGTGATTGACCCCTCTGCCTGGAACGGTGCATGCATAGGTGTGTGTGCACGTCTGTGTGGCTGTCAGGAGCCTCAGGGCCCTGGGCTCTTCCAGATGAAGAGGCAGCAAGGGAGACACCGTGAGGTGCAGTGGGTGATGATGTGTGCGCCGGAGCCAGACCACCTGGCTCCAGTCCCCATCCCAGGCAGGGCCAACTCTGCCTGTTTCATCACCTATAATACCAGGAAAATAATACTGACCTGTGGGATCCATGATATAATAACCAGAAGGTTCTTAGAACAACGCCTGGCTCATGGCTCTTCCTAAGTGCCAGCTGCTGCTGCTGGCAGCTTCGTCTGGCTTTGCTTTTTGCTCCTGTGCAGGTCAGAAACTGGCCAAATCCAGCTAAAATAGCAGTGTGGAGCCAAGTGCCCCGGTCTCACATGCTGTCCTCTCCTTCCCCAGGACTGGTCCTGCTCTCTCATCGTGGCCTCACTCGTGGGCGCCTTGGGTTCCTCCTTCCTGTACGGGTATAACCTCTCCGTGGTGAACGCCCCCACTCCGGTGAGTGCCCTGCGGCCGCGGGATGCCCCTGGTAGGGGGCACTGGGGAGACGCAGAAAACTGGGTGCTACCGTCTGGTGCGGGGTGTAGCGACCTGGTGCTGGGTGGTACCGATCCTGCAAACCTNTTGGGTTCCTCCTTCCTGTACGGGTATAACCTCTCCGTGGTGAACGCCCCCACTCTGGTGAGTGCCCTGCGGCCGCGGGATGCCCCTGATAGAGGGGGCACTGGGGAGACGCAGAAAACTGGGTGCTACCGTCTGGTGCGGGGTGTAGCGACCTGGTGCTGGGTGGTACCGATCCTGCAAACCTTCACAGGTCAGTTCTGTGCCAGACTTGCTGGACACTGGGGGAGAGGGGTATAGACAGAAGAAACCAGCCCTGCCTTCGAGTGGGAGGTGGGAGATCCAGAAACAGACCATGATGGCAATACGCAAGTCAGTTCCTTGAGGCTGGAGTGTGGGTGCCCTCGGAGAGTGTAGGAAGAGGTGGGGGACTAGGAGGTCCCAGGGACGGAAGCTCACAGTCTTATTCCCGGGCAAGGAGGTGGCATGGTGTCTGAGGAGCCAGGAGGCGGCTGAGGCGTAGAAACCTTTTCCTGATCTGTTCTATTTGTACTCCTAGATTTTCATCAGAGCAAGAGGTCACTTGAGAATCTGGTAGTTAAGATCCATTGTTGGCTTTGCTTGCTCTGGGATCGGGTCATTAGGTGCTGTTCCCCCAGCGCCCCCTAACTCTGCCCAGCTGGTCTGCAGAGGAAAGTTTTATTCTCACCTACCTAGGCTGTTAGGTTTAGGTGCTGCTACCCACTGCCGGTGGGGCTGGCTTCTGCCGGACCTGCCTCCACCCTGGGGGCAAAGTGGATGGGGGGCGTGAGGGAATCCTTCCTGGAGGAGGTGATGGAAATCTGTGTCTTGATGGTGGAGCGAAGGCGCAGAGGCTGAGCTATGAGACATTTGCAGAAGTGCATGATGTGGGTGGGGCAGAGGATGTGTTTTGGGGTGCAGAGGACAGCAGCTGGAGAGGCAGACAGAAGCCAGGCTGTGGGCACCCCAGCTGTTCAGGCTTTTTCTGCTGTTCAGGCTTTTTCCTGGTTGGAGGCCCAGCACCCCCATGGACAGAACTCCATGGAGGCTGGACCCTTGGGTCTCTAAGGCCTCTCAGGAGCCCTGGACTTGCAGAGGTGCCTCAGGGATCCAGACCCCTTTAACTTTTTCACATTTGGGGGCCTCTGTAAGTTCCTTTGAAAAACTGATTCTGATGCTAAAAACAGTTTGAAAACCAGGGATGGTCAGGATGGTTTCTCCAAACGCCTGCAGCTATCGCGGCTTTGGTTTTGTCGTTGTGATATCATCCCAAGGCAGAGGTCTGGTTTGTCCATATTTGTCTTTAGAACACGACTGGGAATTTGCTCTCTTGCTTCATCTGGAAAGTTCAGCAGAAACTCCAGCAGAGGGTGGAGGACCTTTGTACTCATGGCTTGAGGGCCAGACGTGCAAAACTTGAACCTGGAATAGAATGATACGGGTAGAAAAATAGTGATTCAAGTAATGACTGTGGGAATGCAAGCAAGGGGCAATTTTGTCATTGTTTCACACAAAAAATTAATGAATAAACGTTTTTCTAGAGCAGTTTTAGGTCCACAGCAAAACTAACCAGGAAGTACAGAGATTCCTCATATACCCCTTGGTCCACCCACACACTCACAGCCTCCCCAACTGTCAACTTCCCCACTAGAACCGTACACTTGTTAAAATCGATCAACCTACCTTGACATATCAAAGTCCATCGTTAACTCTAGAGTCCCCGCTTGGTGGTGGATGTTGAATGGGTTTTGACACATGTATCATGACACGTACTCACCATTGTAGTATCTTACAAAATAGTTTTTTTTTTTTTTACTTCTAAGGCTTTGTCTAAATCTACTTTTTCCCAAAGGTTGTTCATACATACTGCTTTACATCCTTTTTTGGCTTCATATTTATACTGTAAGCATTTTTCCATGTTACTGAAGATTCTCCCTTCCCAGGGTTTCTAGGAGCTGCGTATTTCTGCGTCGGGTCGATGTCCCACCTTCCTGATCTGACCTGTTAGGTTGTTCTCAATTTTTCTCGAGTGGAAGACGCTGCTGCATTGTTTAAATAGGGGCCTGTGGGTCACAGGTTTGGTTTGGTTTGATTTGATTTGAATCAGAGCTGGCAGAACTGCCGGCTCCCAGGAAGAGGGGGGGTCTTTCCAGGCCTGAGGTGTTGGTTTCTGGGTGATCCAGACTGTGGATGCCATCCCTGTCTGCTCCAGCCCCTGGGGTCCCCAAGCTGATTGGAGCTGGGAAGCCTGAATCTTTGATTCAGCATTTCCTCATTTCATAAAGTTCTTCTGGTTGAACACAATGGGGCAAGGAACAGGGTGCTCTCAGGACTGGATAAGGTCTGCTGAGAGGGGTGGGGGCAATGGTGGCTGCAGCCAGACACAGGGAACACAGGGTCGGCCAGGCCAGCCCACTTGGAGGGAGCACGTGGGAGTGGCACTGCTGGTGTGGACAAACTCAGACAAATAAAACTAGGACGTCCTCTTTCCGACCCACGGGAGAAAGACGCTGAGTTTTATTCAGCACCTACTATATGCCGACACCATGCTAGGGACCACACTCTCCTTTAACCCTCCCAGCAGCCCCATCCACAAGCTAGGGGCATGACTCTTGTTCTACAAATAAGTCATTTCAGAATTGGTGCTTGAAACCATCACCCTGAACGTGGGCTGGATGAGATGTTGTTTGAAAGTCCCGGCTGCCGCCAGGCTGATTTTGAGCAGCCACAAGCAATTTTTAACAGTCATGAAGATACTCTCCCTTTGCATTCCAGCCAACCATAGGCCATGCAAGGAGTGGGGAATGTTATCTCAGGATGAGCTGAGGTCTGTGTGACTGTGCTGTCCCCCTGTAAACACAGCTATGCAATCTCTCAGAAGAATGTTCCAGCAGGAGAGAGGCTCAGGATTAAATTTTTTTTTTTAATAAGAAAGATACCTGGGAGTGCACACCTGTCTCTGCTCCTGCCTGAGGCCAAATAGGAAATGAAACTTTCTTTCTTCGCATTCTATATAATTAAATCCAAGCATCAGGCTGGCTTCCCTCCGTGCAAAGGTGGAGGAGGAGGGAACCCAGAAAGCTCTGCAAGCCTCATTCTCCTGACTGTCACGGGCAATTGCTGCATCTCCTTCCCTCGTGTTCAGTTTTCATTCTGAAAGAGCCCTGGGAGCCAGGTATTCTCAGGCGTCCAGAAGCCTAGAGGCTTCTTTGCCACCAGGTAGCTGAAGTACCCCCGGGAACCACGCAGTGGGGAACACATAAAGTGCCACAAACGTGCAAACTGGATATGAAGGGAAGTCAGACAGGAGCCGGACATATTCCCTGGGAGGACCTGGGAGGTGTCCCTGAGAGCACCCCCACGTTCGGTGACTCACTGGGAGGACTCCCAGGACTCAGCGCATAGGTGTGCTCGGGGCTGTGATTTATTACAGCGAAAGGATGCGAAGCGAAATCTGCACAGGGAGCAGGCACCTGGGGCAAAGGTCACAGGAAGCCAGTGCAGGCTCCAGAGTTCTCTCCCAGTGGAGGCACGCAGGGCAGGACGCACGTCATTTCCAAAGCAATGAGCTGTGATGACACCCGCGAGGCGTCCGCCAGGGAAGCTCCTGAGAGACTCGGAGTTCAGGGATTTAATTAGGGGTGCGTCACCTAGGCACCCTGTGTGTGGCAGGCACACACTTCCCATCGCAGAAGGAAAGCGGGCGTTCAGCATACGCCATGCTGTTTGCACAGCTCAGGCCCTGTGAACCTCTCTGATAGGCCTGGAAAGGGTGACAACCCTCCCGATGTCCGAAGCCAGGCCAGGGCCAAGCTTGCAAGCAGGTTCAGAAGAGAACAGCCTCAGGCCAGGTGTGTGAACCGTTTCTGCACAGGAGGCCTTCGCTTGGCCACTCAGGTGACCTTAGATGGCACTACGGGCTTGTGAAATGTGGTCCTCGCGTGGTCTTTACTTCAAGGAGCATGGTCTGGTGGCAGACACTTTTGTAAAGACTTCTAGACGCTTCTCCTGGCTGTCCCGGTGTGGTCGGTGGTGCACACGTTCTACAAATGCCTCAGGCGGTACGCCGGGCTGTTATGCAATGGTGTGTGGACTCTGGCCCGTCTACACAGTGTTCTATTTACGTGTAGTTTTATAGCATCCTGAGAATAATTTTAGATGACTTCATCGCCGACTCTGTGTGAATGAGTAGGGAACATGGATGTCGTAAAACAGGCCACCAGGTAATTTACTTCCCATCGTCTGGCAATTTCTTGACATCATTTGGGGTTGTCCTAAGTCTTCCTGGCTGCGAACTGCATAGTTCAGTGTGTTCCCAGAAACCCGGCCCCTGAGTTCTGAGCTGGGGAGATGATGGTAAAGTCATTCGTGGATTTATAGGCCTGAGAAATCAACAAGCCAAGGACCCTTACTTTACAGACACAGAAAGACTGATACCAGCCCCCCTGCCAGCCACCCAGCTCCAGATGCGTTTAGTGTGCTTCTTGTGGTCCCAGTGCTGTGTGTGACACCCATCCTCGCACTAAATCCTCACAGTGACGATTTGAGGAGGGAGATGATGTCACAGATGAAGCCCCTGAGGCACAGAGAGGCTAAGTAGCATACTCAAGCTCACCGAGCAGAGCAGTGGCAGAGCTGAGAGCTGACGAAAGTGGATCCCAGCGTCCTGAACCTTGGAAAACCCTGCCCTTAGAGGCACAGCGACTTGCTGCAGGTCACAGAGGAACCTAGTAGTACAAGCAAGTCTTGAACCCAGAACTCCCAACTCTTTGCTCAGCCTCGTCTCCCTTAACCAGGTAGCCTCTTATTTGTTTCTTTGCAGTTTGGGCTGTAGTCAGCACAAGTTGTAATATAAATACTCCCTGATAAATTCGTTACAAAATTCTATGAGACTCATCATGTCTTCCCAATCGCAG